CAACCATTTAAAAAGAGATCTATGGAGTAATATAAACATATTGCATGCCACTATTTTATAAATTGGATGGGGCAGAATCCCCTGGAACATAATATCTACACGGGGATAGAAAGAAACCAGATGTCATACGGACTTTCATTTTCTCTATACCATATAAAGACTTTATGCATGTGATGTGGATCTATATGTGCATATAGGTTTACAAATGTGGGATTACAATATGGTAGAAGTTGCTCAAATGGCAATCAAGCATGGGCTGGGAAGTCAGACTTGAGTTCAAATCCTGGTGCTCTCACTTACCAGATAAACGTATTATTTAATTTCTTTGGGACTGGGTCTTCATCTGCAAAGTGGGGGAAATAATTGCTTTCAGGTTGCTCTAAAAATTAGTTATAGAAGCAAAATACATGAGATATACTAGGTGTGCCACAAATGTTGCTATTAATTTAGTTAGAAATCTACATGCACCCATCAGAGCATTTTCATTTCTTATTTAAATATTTTAAAGAGCAGCTTTCCAATACGGATTTATCCAAATTTGTTCTTCTATCTCCCACCCAGCAGACATCTCTGCGGGAATCCATTTAAGTTAAATGTAGCAGTCTGTCTTCATCCTTCAAAAGAAGTTTAAATATAAATCAAGAAGACTTCAAAGACCTTTGCATGAATTTGAGGCAGTCATGATTTTACATATTCTGCAAAATTCCCTCATGATAAAGTCCATAGAAATTAGAAATTAATATTTTACATTCTATTTTTAATCCTTCTGACCTTTCCATTAAAACAACCTCATTATTTTGCGAACAGAATGGATAAGCCAATAATTCATTTATTTTCCAAGTACCCTAAAGGATAAACTTAAACATTCTGTGGGACCTGCAAGAGAAAGCTAACCCAAATCCAACTCTATATTGTCTCTAGGCTAAGTGTTAGTGATATTTTATAAAATACCACTGAGTCCTACAAGCCACCCCGGGTGGGGTGACCATCCTACAATTCCCCTGAGATGGAAAAGAAAGCTGTTAGTAATTACTGTGCCACAGAAAGGACAGACGAGGATCGTCCTAGCATCTGTGATGTGTGGTTCCCCCACTTCCATATCTCAAAACTAATGGCTCAGCCATTATAAGCATTTACTTGAACTCCTGATGGAACGCTGTTCTACGCAGAGTCAACTTTTATGTACTTCATATTTACAATTGCTTACTTTAGAGTTTTTCTAATTATCTCACTCTTGGGAAGAAGATTTCATTATTTGATACGAAGCAAGGACTAAATTTCGCTCCTTTCTCGGGGAATGGTAATACAGTAGCAGATAAGTCTTCCTCTTTTCTATCTCACCTACCAGCTCATTTTCACATGTTCATCTTGTAGCTTCCGGGAGATTTCTGCCATCCCATTCGGCATTTTGCAACACCTGTTTCTGCCAGAAGCTACTGCTCTTTTCAGATTTCTTTAGGATACGGACTGCTTTGCTTAGTCAAATCCCATGCCTGGTTCCATAATTGCCTTGGGTCGCCATTCATTATCAGAGAAGGATCTGAGGCTTTAGGAGTAATGCTCCCAAGGACAAAGCGAACACTCCCTTCTCTCGGCTTTAAAAGAAATCAGCTCCATCTAAAAGCAAAACTGTGTGGCTTGAGTTGCTTCCTTATTTATCCTGTTTGCCTCACAGACTATTCATAATCAATTCCAGAGCTCAGCCTTGAAACGCAGGATATAAGGTTTCTGAGCAGATACAGCTCTGCCTGCAAGCTCTCCCATTATTAGGCTACAGTGCATGCAAATAATCAATTAAGTGGAAATCGGACGACTGTAAAGGACAACAATTAAGAGAAATGAGTTCCTGACAGCGACTGGCAAATCTCTGAAAACACAGCCATCATACTGTAGTTTAATCTCTGACTCAGAGATGTTTATGAGAAATTCCTAGTTCAACCAAAGGAAACAAAAAGTTTGGAATTTTTTTTAATTGGGATTTTTACACATCTTATTTTGACTCTGGGTGGTTTTTAAGTCTCTAAAAATAAATTAAGGTCTGGTTGGAACTAATGGTAAAATGGCATCAACAATTTTTCTGCTTCTCAGTAAGATTCAGTTAATAGTGAACTGAAAATTAAAGGAAAAATGGTATAAGGGATTAGTCCTTGAAATGAATCGTCAAACTTAACGAAAATTGCTATTATGAGCAATATTACTACTCTGCAGCTAGTTAACTATCTTCTTCTCAAAGAGAAATTATCACATAAAGGGAAGGCAAAATAAATGTGTATGTTCATAAAGCTAACAGGCAGATTTTATAAATACGGGAAAGAGAAAATGCAGACATTCCTCCATAACTGCTATGTCTAGAGTAACTGAAAATTCTGCCAAAACGGAGGTTAACTCTTCATAGAGAACTCCATTTTTAGGAAAAAGTGATGAGTTGGAGTGCTAATACTCAAAATACAAGAGGTCTTTTGATAATTTTTTCAAAGCCATTCATGTCCTAGGTGTGGTGTGGTGAAGAGATGGCAAAGAGCACTTTCTGAAGTGATGCAAGGGCCCTGAGGTCAGAGATGCTGCTCTACCTCTTCCCTGTTTACGTGTCCACCTTAGGTTTGCCAGCAGGATGCTTGATCTTCTAGCTAGTTTTACAATTCTAACAAGCTTTAGAATTCTCACACATTCTAACTTGATTTTCAATAAAATGGAAACTGTAAATCAGCTTCCTGTGCTTGCAGCTATTAGAACACAGCAGCTTTCTTATGAGGAAGCTTCCTCTGCTCTTCGCCTCTATTCTATTGTTTCCCGCCCACACAATATCTTTTTCCCACCTCCATATTCACTCAGGGAACAATCTAGACACATTTTACAGCCTACATACACTTAAAAAAAAAAACAAAAAACCAACTACCTCCAGTCTTTATTCCACTCATGTGTCTCTTCCCTCACCCACGCAGGCAACCCCTTTACTCACGTATTCCTTCCACTCCCACGCCCTGTCTGTGTGTGCCAGCTCCCTGCTTCTCTCCACTCTAAGCGTTGCTTTTCTATTTTTTAACCATTTCTCCCTTGTCACATTTAGCAGCTTGCTTTTCTCCCTTTTTTTCTAAAATTTCCTCTTCTATATCAATTTGTCACAATGTTATTATTATCTGTCTAAATATAAAGTATTATGCACCATGCCTTCAAGACACAGTCACTAAGTACTTACTCTGTGCAAGAATACTAGGTACTGGCCCCAAGAGGGATCTTCTCCACCCTTGCCCTTTGTGTCCTCAAGGAATTCATAGTACAATGAGAAAAATGGTGGAGGTGTGTGTGTGTGTGGCGGGGGGAGTTAGCTAGGAGGGCCAGAGGGTTAGTTCTGGCAAACTGGGCTATATTAAATTCAACTCTTTCCATTACAAACAACAAGATCGATTGGATAAATGGTAACATTTAGAAATACATATCTGGGCTTAGAAGAAAGGTCAAAAAGTCAGAGGGAACTAAAAATGGAGAGAGGGAAGTCCATGAACTGACAATATATTGGTATGGATGGGGGGTAAGTGTCCAGTAGCTAAGAGCTTGGGTTTTAATGCCACAAGAGGCAGAAAACAGGGTCCAGAGCCTACGGAAGGCAGGAAGCTAGAAAATGACCCCATGCATATAGCCATGTTATAATCCAAACAAATTCCAGAGTGTAATATGGGTGAAAGGATAGCCATATAGATCAAACACAACAGAGACCATCGGTACCAACCCAAATATAGACAGGGAATTAGTGAATGAGAAAAGTGACATTAAACTCAGAGGGCACAGCACATGATAAGTCGTGCTGGAACAACTATCTAACCATAGAAAGAAACTTAGATTTCTGCTTTACCCCAAAATATTTCTAAACTGTTATCATGAGATATACTTGACATACAATAAATGGCACATATTAAAACATACGACTTGATAAATTTTAACATGTGCACAGACCACAATCAAGATAGTGAACATACTGATCAACCTCAACCTCCTTTTTTTAAGATTTTACTTATTTGAGAGAGGGAGAGGGAGAACAAGTGGGGGTAGGGGGTAGAGGCAGAGGGAGAGAGAGAAGTAGACTCCCCGCTGAGCTGGGAGCCCCATGTGGGGCTTGATCCTAGGACCCTGGGATCATGACCTGAGCCAAAAGCAGACACTTAACCGACTGAGCCCCCCAGGTGCCCCAACCCCAAAAGTTTCCTAATGTACCCTGGTAACCCTTTATTCTTATCCCTAACCTTACTCCCAGGCAGTCACTGGTTTCCCTTTTGTTGTTACAGATAAGCTTGCATTTTCTAGAATTTTGTATTCATGGAATCACAGAATATGTTGTCTTTTTCATCTGGCTTCATTTGCTCAGCATAATTATTTCAAGATTCACCCAAGATGTTATGTATATCAATTTCTCATACTTCTTTTTATTGCTAAACAGTATTCGTCATATGGATATACCACAATTTGTTTATTCATGTACCTGTTGGTGGGAATTTGGGTTGTTAGCAGTTTGGGCAATTATAAATACAGTCACTATGTATAAGTCTATTTTATGGACATATGTTTTCACCTCCCCTGGTTAGACACCTGGAATGGAATGAACGGTATACATGGTAGGTGTCTGTTTAACTTTCTAAGAAACTGCCTGTTTTTCCAAGTAGTTACACCATTTCTCATTTCCATCTTATTTAAATAGGAAATGAAAATACTCAGATGGTATTATGGTAGCATACTCCTCATTCTGTCACACTGAAGAAAATCTCCAAATGCACACTTTGAATTTGCTTAGTCTACTTTCCCAAGGGGTTACATTTTTCAGTCTGGCTTGCCTTGAATACTTGTGTTAAAAAATCAGACAAGAAAATTTCGAGGAAACAGAGAATATAGAACAGAGCACATAAGGGCTTTTTTGTTCAACTTAGACATAGAGTTTTCTCGTAAGATTTGCAGAAAGTTTTTTGTTAATCATGTAAATTAAAACACAGTTAGTAGATAGATAAACTTACCCTGGTTTTGTGTCATTTACTACACAGTGATAGGTAAATGTTCCAAACATCTGAACTCCTAAAATTCCATAAAGAAGTAGAAAGAAAAGTAGGAAAATTGAAACGCTCCATATTTGTTCTCCCGATCGCCTGGGGGGGGGGAAAAAGTAGGCAAAACTTACAGAAATGTCATAAGCTTTTCTCCTTAACTTATGTAAGAGCAGTACTTACTTTAAAATGTTTGTAATCCTGGTCCTTGGTAGCTCAAATCGGAAATAAATTCGGAACGCCCGAATCATAATCAGTGGCCTTGGAATCCGCAACATGCCCCAGGGTGACATCTGGTCAACTATATCAGCAATTTCAAATACCTGTGAATTAAGAGGTAAGAAGAAACAATCTCAGAGCTTCCCTTAGCTTTGCCCGTATTTACGACAGACACCAGACAGCATTGGATTTGCCACATTGAACTTTGCCCTGCATTCTTTTCCACTGAAATGGTCCTTTTTGAAGCTATAGCTATCTATAGAGAAATGAACACATAAACTAATGTAAATGCCATTGCTCTTACTCATTTCCCGTATAATTCATCAAAGCCCAGTTTTTAATTATAAAACAAGCGCCAACTTAGAGTACAGAATAAGTAGGCTGAGTTTTCCTCACCAATAAGGTCAGTTGGTGGAACTTTTTTAAATAGCTAGAACACAAAGTAATGGAGAGAGGGTTAAGGGTATTATAAAAAAATAAAAAAAGGAATTGTACCATTTCCTAAAAGAGGCAAAAATTATAATTAGAAAACATTTGTCAGTCATTTAATAGCTATTAAGTGGAAAAGAATGCATGAATATGAAGGATGAATTCAGATTGTTGGAGAGGCGAGCTCTGTAAAAATAAGGAGAGCTTATCCATAAGTATTGACATGACTCTGCAGGATGGACTGAATTTATTATGTTCTAAATTTTTAAATGAAGAATGTACTATCTTGAGTTGAATTAAACACAAAACTGAAGCCTGAATGAACACATGGAAATGAATTCTATTACCCAGTAAAATCCCACCTTTAGCCTTTTAAATATAAGTTCTCCATTTCTCATAGGAAGGCACTTTCTATTTGTGATATGGTATTTTATGTTCATCCCATTAGTCAGCTGTTTTTAGTAGGGATTCAGTCACATAAAAGACCTGAATTTTAATATTTAAATTGTTTTATTCTACAAGATACAGAAATGTTACCCCATGTTTTGTCCTTCATTTTAAATAAATATATTTTTATATCTTTTTAATAAGAAATAATTTGCTATGGTATTGATGTTCATTTCTGATTGAGAATCGACAGATGTGACTGACAAAGATTAAGATGTTAGTTTTTTATCATAAACATTTAAAATAACATGATGTTGAGGAAAGTTACACCATCACATTTGACATATACTGATTACTATTTTTATTTAGATTTTCAATGCAAAACAATGCACATTTTGGAAAATACCCCCATGTAAATTAAAAGTTTTAATTACCTGTAACACCAATGAAACCCAAAGGCAGAAGACCATAAATCCATCAAAAACACACCAGCGATCTTTCACATAGGAACTATCCCCCTAAAAATAAATTTCACATGGAGTTATCATGCAAAATTAAGAATTTCAAAAAACATCTGTGGAGAGAAGGGTCAAAGGTTAATTCAGTATAAACTAGCCATAATTTTTGCATCAAAACTGAAGAAACTTTCAGAAGGAGTACCTTTAGCTTTTTATTTTATTCATAACAATTTATTGATTTATTTGACAGAGAGAGACAGAGAGGGAACACAAGCAGAGGGAGTGGGAGAGGTAGAAGCAGGCTTCCCGCTGAGCAGGGAGCTGGATCCCAGGACACAGGGATGATGACCGGAGCTGAAGGCAGGCGCTTAACCACTGAGCCACCCAGGTGCCTGGTGGAACACCTTTAGCGTTTTAAATGGCATTGTATATGAAGAAAATAATTTATGAAACACAAGTAACTCCAGAGCTACGCATGGAAAATTTTAAGTTCACACAAACAGAAAACATCACTACTTTTTCTCTTAGCCACACAGATACTACCATTTAAGAAACCAGAGGTCATCCCACACAGGAGGCAGCTTAAGTCCTAAAACAGCTTTCTTCCTACAAGAATTAAGGACAATACTGGTCAGCATGAAGACCTTTAAGCCTGTGGATCAACCACCATGAGTAGGAATTTAACAAGGAATTCACCTCGAGCTAAATTAAACATGAAGAAGAAAATTGCCTTCATTATCAAATATATTAAACATATATTGACTTGAATTGGAGTCACATGTGATAAAGAAGACACACTACTTTCACCTTTTAATAATGAATCTACTCTGACATTAGAATGCGTATTTTTATCAAATGGGAATTTCAGAAAAAAAATTTCCCTTTTGAGCAACAAAACAGAAAAACCCACCAGATTAGAATTGGAACCTTAAATAGGAAGGCCTTTGCTTTCTTAGGACTGCCCCATTAAGTCACCAACTCCATCATAATTCATGAAACTCGGTTCTGAATTCGGTGACACCTATCATTACCAGCTCTGATTGAACCTGCTTAGGAAATAAAAATCGGAACAGAAAGCCAAGATTTTTAATAAAATGATGAAATCTGTGGTAGGATATTTAGGAAAATAAAATAATTTCCAGGACTACCTACACTTAGTAATAAATAGGCTATCAAAAAGACTCCTTGAGAAGTTTTCAAAAATAATCTATATTATTCACAAAACTAACAGTATGGTAACTCACTTCATGGAATTTATCTGGCCCAGATGTGAAGTGTAAATTCAACTTAGTTAATGCTGAAGAATCATCTACTTTACATAAGAGGATGTATAACGCCTCTTGAAACACACACACACACACAAACACACACACCAATCTTGCATAGAAAAACTAATACGTACACACCCAACTAATATGTAAGATAGGACAACTTGTAACAAAGCTATAAACATGGTGGGGAAGATAAGAAGATTAATTCTATGAAGAGTTTAGAGAAAAGAAGTATAGTTCTCAAATGCCTAAAAAATTTTATCATTACTAAGAGAATCAACCAAATTTGGTAATTTGTATATTTGAGAAGTTCACAAAAGAAGTATGAAAGAAAGCCTGAGGCCTGGGGTCTGGGTAACTAGGAGGACAATGACCCTGTTAAGTGTTATGATCATCATATGTTGATTTAAACGTGATGACGAGAAAAATTGCACCTCCGGGAGGCATTGGTTTCAAGAATGCGTGTGTGTGCACGCACGTGCGTGTACACACACACACACACACACAGAACAAATAATTTAAGGATGTGATCATTGTCCTCAAAACCTCACAAAACATCTTTCACTAAAAGTATCATATTTGCCTTGTCCATTGTATAGTTCACTGAAAATATAAATTATAATCTAAATATAGACAATATAGTCAATATAAAATTGAATTTTCTGAGTCTAATTTTAATCAGTATCCAAAAAGATAATGGAATACAAATGATTTAAAGTTACACTTTAAAGATTTTTATTTATTTATTTGTCAGAGAGAGAGAGAGAGAGAGAGAGAAAGAGAGCACAAGCAGGGGGAGCAGCAGACAGAGGGAGAAACAGGCTCCTTGCTGAGCAGGGAGCCAGATGCGGGACCCAATCCCAGGATGCTGGGATCATGACCTGAGCCGAAGGCAGACGCCCAATCAACGGAACCACCCAGGCGTCCCTAAAGTTACACTTTAAAGATTCCCTTGAGTTTCTTAATATTTATTGTTCAATAAATTCAAAATTTATTGTTCATTCATTCATTCATTCATTCACTCATGTATAGAATACCTTTATGATCTAGACAGTGTTTGAGGCAGTAATGACAGAGGATCGAAAAGAAAAACAAAAACCCTTGACCTTATATGATTTACATTCTCAGTTTAAAAAATGTTAAATATACAGTATATGTTGATAGGTATTATGAATAAAAATAAAAGTGTATATTTTCAAATTGATTTTTACTAAACGAATGTATTTTTTCTGGAATGTTAGGCAGAAAGAGAAAAATATCACAATGTTTATTTTAAGAACTAGGCATAGTTGCGATTGTTTTAAAAAATGCAAAGAATTCCCAAAACAAAAACTAAAATTTTATGGGACTCAGCAGAGAGCTATTTTAGAGTAGTTCTATCTTTAACTTTTTGAGGAACCTCCATATTGTCTTCCCGAGTGGCTGCACTGGCTTGCGTTCCCACCAACAGTATAAAAGGGTTCCCCTTTCTCCACATCCTCTCCACCCCACGACCCAGCAATGGCACTACGAGGTCTAATACAAAAATACTAATTCAAAGGGATACACACACCTTTATATTTGTAAGAGCATTATCTACAATACTCAAATTATGGAGAGAGCCCAAGTGTCCATCGACTGATGAATGAATAAAAAAAGAGGTGCTATATACGTACGATGGGATAGTACTGAGCCGTCAGAAGGAACGAAGTCTTGCCATTTGCAATGACATGGATGGTGCTAGAATGTGTTATGCTGAGCAAAATCAGTCAGTCAGAGAAAGACAAATACCATATGATTTCACACATATGTGGAATTTAAGAAACAAAACAAATAATAATAGGGGGGAAAAGAGGCAAACCAAGAAACAGATTCCTAACCGTGGAGAACCCACTGAGAGTTACCAGAGGGGAGGTGGGGGGGGTGGGGTGGGGAGGAAGGTGGTGGTGAAATAGGTGATGGGGATTCAGGAAGGCCCCTGCGATGAGCACCAGGTGCTGTATGGAAGTGCTGAGTCACTAAATTGTACACCTGAAACCAAAACTACACTGCATGTTACTAACTGGAATTTAAGCAAAACTTAAAAAAAAAAAAAAAAGGAAAGACCAAAAGGAAAAAAAAAAAAAAGAGCTAATTTAAAATAGGAATGATTAAAAGTAAATGTTTGGCTGAAAAAGGATCACTGGGATCAGCTGGGTACGCGGACTACTAATAAGATGAGTTTATGTGGCCTTTTCCCCCAAATTATTATTTTATTTCTTTTTTGTCATTAAAAAACATTATACATAGCGTTACGACAACTAACTTCCACTGTTGCTCATAACTTGCTTTAGTAACAAATTATATTCAGTAAGATACAGGATGAGACCTCGTTATATTTAGGATGATTTAAAATGTGAAAGCGAGAATAAACAGCGGTAGTTTTCAGGAAGGGTAACTGGGTGGCCAGGACCCAACGAGGGAAGAGAAACAGATGTTCACATTATAACCATGGATGTCTTCGACTCACGTTCATGTGTTATGTTTTTTAAAGTAGATTTTCAAAATTAAATTTTTAAAAAGATGAACATTTTAGCTTTAACAAAACTTTTAAAGTTTTTTGCTTTTAAGTTGGCACAAATGAAGTCAATTCTGAAAACCTGGGGCCCCACAAATTTAGAATATACATCTATCAAAACAGAGTGGCTGAATGCTTGTTTATTTACTTTATAAATTTGTCTGCTAAGGAAACTGATGTTGCCGGGATGACCTAAAGTATACTCTGAACTATATAAAAGGATGGATTATTTAAAATCACTTTAGAAGTCCCCGTAGGGAATCAACCAAAAAAAAAAAAAAGCATGCAAACATGTCTAACTCAAACAAGCTCACATTGTGAAAACTGTCTTCACAAAAACTTCCACTGCATAACGTAGAAAACTATTTCCGAATTAGGAAGTCAGTTCAGTTGCATTGTTTGGAATGAGCTTGGCTGTGGACTTTCCAGCAATTCATAGTGGCATTTACCTGTTGCCAACAAAACACACCCCACACTGGATGGTATGTAACGGTCAATTAGAACCGGCTTCTTTTGACTTTCCTGATAATAGGTGTGCAATAAGCCACTGGGCACAAGTTTTATACAATATTTTTTGGCTCATGTTCCCAAGAGCTATTTAATATTTATAAAAGCCTTTAGTAAGCAATGGTGCAGGAAGCTGGGACACAAAGACCAGTAACACTCAGATGTCCTCCCCCCACCGCCTTTATTTTTCTAGTTTTGCTTTTTAGTGTTCATTATTCTTTTTTTTTTCTTAAGATTTTAGTTATCCATGAGAAAGAGAGAGAGGGAGGGAGAAAGCAGGGAGAGGAACAAAGGGAAAGGGACAAGCAGACTCCATGCTGAGTCATGAGTCTAACCTGGGACTTGATCTCATGACTCTGAGATCACAACTTGAGCCCAAACCAAGAGTCGGACGCTTACCCGACTGAGCCCCCTGGCTCTGTGTTCTTTTTTCTTCACGCTGTGCTGTCTTCCTGAAAATTCTCCCAAGTCTGTGCCAGCTTTCCTCTCCAGACTCTGATCTGATCATAGCCTACCCTGATAAATGTTTGAGCCCATACGTAATGCAACAAGCACCAAACTCAGCTCATGGGTCTGAAAAAAACGTTCATATTGTGTAACTTACAGAACTGTCCTTTGTAATTTCCACCTCGTTGTTGAATGAATTTCAGTTGACTCCCTCCTGTTTATCAATTCCAGTTGTGAATTTTGGGTTTCCCACTCAAACCTTCTCTAAACCTACTCTCTGGCGTTGCATTAAAAATATC